AGGGAAGGGAAGGGAAGGGAAGGGAAGGGAAGGGAAGGGAAGGGAAGGGAAGGGATTTACACTCTCAGAAATAAGTTAACAAGTTAAATAAGGCTATCTGGTGTTTAGTTGACAAATGGGGTTAAAACACAGCACTGGTTTAGCGCCCTTCCTTCCTGCCTGTGTGCCTACCTGGCTCCCTCTCTTCCTACCCTGCCTCCCTCCCTCCCCTCCCTTTCTCCCCTCCCTCTTGGAGTCAAGAGTCCTGGATTCCTGGAGTCCTTCCTTCCCTCCTTCACTCTTTCTTCTTCTTCAGGCTGATTACTCTAGTGTTATAGAACAGTGAAGATTCTTAATATCCTTTGAATGCCCTTGAAAACAAACTAGTCCTTTTTCTGGGATTCAGGATGCTGCTGAATTAAGGTTGAGGTCTTTATTATATTGACTTTTGTTTCATCATACACTATAGCTCTAAAAAGACCTCCAAACCTATAAGAAGAGACTGTGATGGCACCATCACAATACTTTCTATTCTGAAAGTTCCCACTCTTTGTTCCAAGCACCTTTAAACTTTCTTCTTTGTTTTGTTGCTGTGCTACCTTTTAAATCATTCTGTCACAAACCCATTGAAAGGTCTCAAAATTCAGAACGAGCATTTAAAGCAAGTAGTCAGAACTGATATTATATTGCATCCATGTTATTTTCTCTCAACTAGCTCTTTTTCCCCACACTTTGTCTGCACTCTTAATTTAAACACTAAACCCTTGGGTCAGTTAATGGTCCATACCATTTATACGGTAAGATGCAGCATGAAACTCCTGTTATGATGCCCTCTTTTTTCATTAGAACTATTAAAAAATTATGAGAAAAAAATGGGGTGAGAGATTAATATCTCCCCAGAGTTTATACAGATTAAACAAAAGAGCAGTTCTCCACATCTCCCATTTCTTTTTCCTTTGAGGCCTAGGCATAGCCATGAAATTGCTAAGCAAGACGAGCAAAATGCTAATACTGCAATTAGCAGTGTAATTCTCAAACCTGAGTGGCATTTCAGGCCATAACAGAGTCTAAGCTCCCAACACATAAAGAAATAGCAGAGTGCTGTTCAGTAATATCATGAAGTTTCTCATATACAGAAATTGGATTCTGCTTCAATGAAACATTCCTGAACAAAGAAAATGCAAATTTCACTTCATTTATTTTGTTTTCATGATGGTGGAAATGCAACAGAATATATAGGCTTATTTTGCATGCCTTGATTGTTTGATTTTACTAGCCCCTACTAAGCAGCGCACTATTAGGTTTTTATTCTGTGGATATTCTGCAGAAAGGTATTCTCCAGACTTTACCCTTACTGTCTCTCCAGTATTACCTCAGTTCCCTTTCAAAAATTGGAAAGCAGTTATGGTAAAAATGAACAAGTAGAGAATGAAATGGATGTTAAATATTAAACCTTTCTATTTAAATAGGATTCTGGGGGGTGAGATATAGTGGCATGTCCTTGTGCAGATTCTTTATTCAAATGCCAGTTTTATTGAATATCCATGACTTCAAAAGTCACAGCTAATATCCTTGCATGAAACCCACTGTCTTAGCAAAGTAAAGACAAAATAAACTTTCTATTTTTTTACTGTTGTAAGAGAATATATTATTATAACAGAGTTTACACTGATGCATCTCAAAGTACTGTGAAGTAAACAGCTGTTGATGATTTTATTAATTCATTTAACCATTTTATAGGACTTCATGGAATCACAGAATTGATGAGGGTGGTAGGTATCTCTGGAGATAGTCCATCAGAGCCTTTACTCAAAGCAGAATGAACTAGAGTAAGTAACTTAGGACAATGTACAGTCAGATTTTGAGTATCTTCAAGGATGGCAAACTCACAGTCTCCTGGGAAACTTACTCCAATGTTCAAACATCATGGTAGAAATTATTTTCTTATGTTTAGACAGAATTTCATTTATTTCAGCTTGCCGTTGTCTCTTGTCTTGCCACTTGGCACTTCTGCAAAGAGTTTAAATTCATCTTCTTCAGTTGCTCCAGACATATATTTATATACATTAATAAGATTTCCCCAAGCCCTTTTTCTCCATGCTGGAGAACCCCAGCCACTGTTAGCCACTACTCATGTAAGACAAGCTTCAGCTGACAATCTTTGTGTCCTGTGCTGAAGTTCCTCTAGTGTGTTCAGTTGTTTTGGCATGGGCAGAGCTGTGCACAGCCCCCTCAGTCTGTCTCACCAGGTATAAGCAGCGGTGAAGGACCAGATGCTTCAATCTGCAAGAAATACTTCTGCTAATGCAGACCCTGTTTGCTGCAATAGTAACATGCTGGAATATGATCAGCTTGTCTCCCAGGAACTCCAGGTTCTTCTCTGCAGATCTGGTTTCCAGTCAGTCAACCCCCACCATGCAGTTATGCTGAAAGAATTCTTCCTCCCCAGGTATAGGTTTTTGCATTTCCCTTTATCAAATGAAGTTCCTGTTTACACATTACTCCAGCCTGTTAATGACCTCTAAAAAGCAGTAGATCCATCTGATATATTAACCATTCCTTCCTGTTTTGTACCATCTTCAAATTACTGAAAGTAAACTCTTGTTAACTTCTATATGTGGTGGTGGAACACCCCTGAGCCTTGCAGAGATGATCCTTGAAAGTCAATCATATTTTCCCCCAAAAATAAGGAAAAAAAAGTGACAGTAAACACAAGTGAGTCTGCTAAAAGAACTCTTCAGAAGATGATAAGAGTAATTCCTAAATATTTTTTTTTTTTTGCTTTTGCTGTTCACAGTGATCTAAATTTCATTTTTTAGCTCTCCCGATCTAAAACTCTGCCACAAATTCTGAGTCAAAAATTACTGACAAGCTGTGGATGTTATCACTGTTCAGCCTTTCCTTTTCTTAAAAATTAAAACCTTTTGAGTAGTCAAGATATAACTTATTTTCAGCACCTGGGATATGAACACAAAACAGGAGTCCTGTGCTAGGTGAGTTGCTTTTCTAGAAATATCAGACGCTATACACACCAGAGCAATCACAGATAGTTTGCTTTTTTGTTTCACTGCTTGCCCACTTTGTGTTGGTTCTTAATTAATTCATATAAATCCTCCTAAATTCTCATTACATTGTTTCTCTTTACTGCTTAATATTTCTTCCTCGGGATTTCTCTACAGACCTCAGCTCCTCATTTATTTATGTTGGTATCTTCTTGCTCTGTTAATTTTCATGGTGGATCTGACCTATGAAACATTAATTGTCAGGTGTCATAGTTTAACCCTGGCTGGAAACTAAACCCTGGATTGTAGGGAGCCCTGTGCTCCAGGACGGTTTAGATGAATGGAGACGAGAGATCTCTGAAGGCTGCTCTTGGGATATAAGGTTTATTAGGGATGGAGAAAGGTCTTGCTTGGAGCTGCCAGATGCAGCACATGGCAAAGCCTGAGGGGATGGGGGAGGGGAGAGACAAAAGGATGCTCTAGGAGAGGGTGGAGGTCCTAAGAGGGAAGAAGATCCAAGAGGGGGAGTTCCAAGAGGGCTTCTGGCCCCTCAGAGACCCCTTATCAGGGGGCTTCAAGGTGGGCTGGAACAAGACTTGGGCCAGTGGGGTCACAGACACCTGATGTTTCAGGGGAGGGTAACAGGTGCAGGGTGAACCATACATTTTGGGGGGTGAGATGGAACAGTCCATTTGACTTTTGGACTTATCTGTAGGTAAGGGTATTGCCCAGCCACTAGGGAGGATTGTTTTCATCCTGGATGTATTATTATGAATAATTATATTTATCCATCCTTCCCAACACTGGATAGTCACTCCTTTACTCCCTTCCAAAGGGTAAAAGTCCTTAAATATGTATGGATTAAGATAAAGAGAGTTCATTAGGTAAAGCAAAGGAAAACAAGGAAATTATTCATTCCTTCCCATCCACAGGCAGTTCAGCAATCTCCAGAAAAGTAGGGCTGCACTATGCCTAATTAGACAGACAAATGCCATTTGTCCAAATCTCCCCTCCCTTTCTTCTTTTCCCTCCAAATTTATATGCTGAGCCTGATGCCATGTGGTATGGGATAACCCTTGGGTCATTTGGGGTCAGCTGTCACCTCCCAGCTTTCTGTGCACCCCTCAACCTCCTCACTGGTGGCATAGGTGAGGAGTAACAAAGATCTTGTGTCATAGCATTGCTCAGCAGTAGCAAAATATGCCTGTGTTATCAATACTGTTTCCAGAACAAGTGCAAAGAAAACCACATACTAATTA